GGGTGGCCCCCTCCCCCCCTGCCTCCGACCTTGACCCCAGACGTCTGGGTCCCCAGGCAGCCCCAGTCACCTGACGCGCCCGGCTGCGGCGCGCGCTGATAAAGCGCCGAGCGGCCCGGCCCGGCCGCCTCTTAAGGTGGCGCCGCCGCCCCGCTTAAGGCGGAACGGGGGGACCCGGGCGGGCAGGGCCGAGGGCGTTCGGGGCCTGGGATGGGCCTCGCTGAACCCCGCTGTGACTCCAGATTTACACCCCTCAGTCACCCCAGATTTACACCGGTGCAAATCCAGAGTAACCCAGCTGTGACTCCAGATTTACACCGATGCAAATCCAGAGTAACCCCACTGTGACTGCAGATTTACACCCCTCAGTCACTCCAGATTTACACCAATGCAAATCCAGAGAAACCCCGCTGTCACCCCAGATTTACACCGGCGCAAATCCGGAGTAACCCCGCTGTGACTCCAGATTTACACCCCTCAGTCAGCCCAGATTTACACCAATGCAAATCCAGAGTAAACCCGCTGTCACCCCAGATTTACACCGGCGCAAATCCGGAGTAACCCCGCTGTGACTCCAGATTTACACCCCTCAGTCACCCCAGATTTACACCGATGCAAACCCAGAGTAACCCCGCTGTCACCCCAGATTTACACCGGTGCAAATCCAGAGTAACCCCGCTGTCACTCCAGATTCACACCAGTGTGGCTGAAATCTGAAATTGGGCTCAAGGCCCTGATCCTGCAGTGGGAGATGAACAAGCCTAGCTCCTGTGGAACAGCTCCCATGTGGCTGCTGAGAGCCGGTGCTGTGGCCCCAACCGTTCAGAGATCCCTGGTCCCCCTGCCAGCCCAGCCCTGGGCTCCCCCTCCGCTCCCCACCAGCCCGGCCGGTGCCCCTCACTCCCATTCACCACACTAAAAAATTAAAAACCAGCAAATAGTCTGGTAGCATTTTAAAGACTAACCAGACGTGGATGGTATCCTGAGCTTTCCCCCTGCAGAGACCCCTGGTCCCCCTGCCAGCCCAGCCCTGGGCTCCCCCTCCGCTCCCCACCAGCCCGGCCGGTGCCCCTCACTCCCATTCACCACACTAAAAAATTAAAAACCAGCAAATAGTCTGGTAGCATTTTAAAGACTAACCAGACGTGGATGGTATCCTGAGCTTTCCTGGGCAAACCCCACTTCTTCAGATGACCTCACTGTCAGTTCAGTGCTGCAGCCTGTCCCAGGCAGGGACTCTCGGCTGAGTGCCCAGTTGGCTGCTGTGATGGGATGTCTGGGGTGGGGGAGGCAAGAGACCGCTACTCCCCTGTCCTTTCCTGACCTCGGCCACATTAAAACCCCTGCGAGGCCAAAACCCATCAATTATCCCACAGTTCCTCTGCTCTGCGTTTTTGGCAGCTTGCCAAATCCTCCCCCTCTGCCCTGTAGACAGGCTCTTCCCTTCTCCCCTTTTCCCGCCCCATAGCTAGCCCCATCCCTCCACACCATAGCCAGCCTCCCTCCTCCCCCACCCTATAGCTAGCCTTGTCCCTCTGCCCCATAGCCAGCCTCCCTTCTCCCCTTTTCCCGCCCCATAGCTAGCCCCATCCCTCCACACCATAGCCAGCCTCCCTCCTCCCCCACCCTATAGCTAGCCTTGTCCCTCTGCCCCATAGCCAGCCTCCCTCCTCCCCTCTTCCCGCCCCACAGCCAGCCCCATCCCTCTGCCCCATAGCCAGCCACCCTCCTTCCCTCTCCCCGCCCCATAGCTAGCCCCATCCCTCCACCCCATAGCCAGCCTCCCTTCTTCCCTCCCATCCAGGTGACCCAGACTCACCCTGGGTATGTCTACACTACCCTCCTAGTTCGAACTAGCGGGGTAATGTAGGCATACCGCACTTGCAAATGAAGCCCGGGAGTTGAATTTCCCGGGCTTCATTTGCATAAACTGGGCGCCGCCATTTTTAAATCCTTGCTCGTTCGAACCCCGTGCAGCGCGGCTACACGCGGCACGAACTAGGTAGTTCGGACTAGGCCTCCTAGTTCAAACTACTGTTACTCCTCGTGGAATGAGGAGGCCTAGTCCGAACTACCTAGTTTGTGCCGCGTGTAGCCGCGCTGCACGGGGTTCGAACGAGCGGGGATTTAAAAATGGCGGCGCCCAGTTTATG